ATGACCTAATTCCTCTGCCGCGATAACGATCAGGTGAAGCTTGAAGGCGTCTTGTTTTACCCAAAGAAACGAGGAAAGTGTTGATTCCTAAAAATAAATAACATACTGTTGGATTCATTTGGTATTATTTGTTGTTTTTCATGTATCCGGCGGTACAAGTTACGCTTGCAAGTATTGTTTAATATTACACTGAATCATTGTTTATCTCTTTTGCATGAACGAGTCACCTATGCTACTTCAATCACGCCCTTGAGGAGGTTTATCTTAAGTCTTCCTACCTCTGTTGCCTTCCCCAGTCACATTTTTACGCTGCGTTCACCTCCTTAGGTTGCCTACCTCGTGGTTTTCGCCGTCGTTATTACCTTGGCAGTATACAGTCAGCACTGCGTTTGGGTCACATCGAACGCGTACTCCTCGCCAAGCATTGTCATGTCCGCCCAACGTCAAGATGGATCCCAGGTGCTATTTGATGACTACAGAGAAGCGTACTACTGGCTTCGTCAGAACACCCCTCCGGTAAGTCTGACTTCCGACCGCCTTTGGTCGAGTCGCACATATACTTATAAATTGCTCGTAGTTATATAGGGGATTGCCTGTCTGATGAAATCTAACGATTTGTACAGGTAATCCCTGTTACGCAAAATTAGCTCACGTTGCGTCCCCCAAAGTCTTACAGCAAAAAGTAATGGTCTTCAAAATAGGACATATTGCGATTTATCAAGTAATATTACGTTGTTAAAAAATTCCAGCTTTTTTAGAAAAACAGAAAATTCCAAAAAAGTGAAAATCGGGCGTACTAGGTGCACTTAAGTTTTAAATGTAGAGGAAGTCTGTTCCTGCAAAAAAAGAGTGAAAAAAAGAAGCACAAGTAGAATTACTTTGGAAAATAATCATTTTGTCAAGTTTTCTGGTACATATGCTTCCATATTACATGCAATGTAACATATGGCTATTAACGAACAGCCGAAATTTCAAGTATGTATTCCAACGCGGTTTCACGAGAGCTGTCAATTGTTTCTCCTGTTTATACATTGCTTGAGTAACGTTGGACCCAAACATGTCAACTCATTGCCAAGAGAAATGAAAGCCTGCAACGTTAGTCACAAACGAATATACACATACATTTACATACACATACAGTGGTCGCCGTTGACCACGTAATTTTCCTTAATTTGTATAAGT